ACCAGCAGTGCTGTGGGGGGGCTGTGGGGGCCTTTAATTTTTATCACGGATTTTGGGTTTTTAAAAATGTGAGAATTCGCAATTTTTAATCAGAGAAAACCAGGATTCCTGGTGATAACCCAGCTTTTAAAACAGCAGTAGTTTCTTCTGCAGGTGTAGAAAGAAAATTTTCTTCCTTTGAACTAATTCATTCTAAATCATGAAATCACTTGGAAACTGAAAAAGCAGGAAAGCTTGTCTTGCTTTTCCAGTCAATGAATTGGGAAGAGGAAGGTGAAGACCAAATTTGCTGCATAACCAGTATTTTAAAGTGTCTAACCCAGCTTTTAAAACAGCAGTAGTTTCTTCTGCAGGTGTAGAAAGAAAATTTTCTTCCTTTGAACTAATTCATTCTAAATCATGAAATCACTTGGAAACTGAAAAAGCAGGAAAGCTTGTCTTGCTTTTCCAGTCAATGAATTGGGAAGAGGAAGGTGAAGACCAAATTTGCTGCATAACCAGTATTTTAAAGTGTCTCGTGTTAATCTGGCTGAAATAATCTATTTAAATTTTTTGTTAAAAAAAAAAAAAAAAAAAACACAAACCACATTTCACATTTATAACTAAAATAGTTACAAATTCAAAAATATATGTTTTGTTAAAATAATTATACTTTTTTTTTATTGAAGAAAAATATCCAAAATACATGAGCATTGTTGTTTTAGTTAAATAAAGCAATTACAAAAAAAAGTCTGTTTTTGGTAACTGTTACTGTTGTCCTCCTAATACAGCATGCAAAAAAATATCCCCCAAATATCCATGATTAATCTAGTGAATTGGAGACAGTTCACCTCCCAATGACTTCACACATATCTGCTTCAATAAGCTTTGGTAAATAAAATAACCAAATCATAATTTAATTTTCTGATGTAGTTGCAAAATTAGTCTGAAAAAATATCAAACTAAATCACTGCTTTAAAATGTATAGTATGTACCTTCTAAAGAGGAAATCTAACTCTCTCAGTTTTGAATAATATGTATTAAAGTTATATCAAACAGGAATTCACTTTTTGTAGAAAACAGTGATTAAATCAAGGCTTCCCAACCAGCGATTTAAAAAAGATTTGATTTAAATCAAATGCACCCTGCTACCAAAGAGCTCTACTGAGCATAGTTCTCTCACCTCCTACTGCTAATAGACAGTAGCGGTTTAAAAGGGTACACTCAGTAACCTGAGCAAGGGAACAGTGACTAGAACACAGAAGGTACGTAAAACTTCAGGAGTAAGGAGGAGTACTGACTGGTCTGGGAGGATTTGGAAATACATTATGGCCTTTTCCCATGCCCCAGGGGGGGTGGGGGGGAGAGGAGGCAGGAAATGATGAAGAGACAGACCCAGGTGTACTATGGGTTTGTGCAAACCATTCTTCAGGGACCTCAGGCAAAGCTGGTGTTTTGAGTTCAGGGCACCACTAAGTAAAGGAAACAGAACTTAGTGGGAAGTATGAACTGTTTGTGTGTTTGGTTACTAGCTTGTTAAGCATGTATTTGCTCCAGCAATTAATCATCCTGATCAATACTTGCTTCTTGCTGAAAATGTAGAAAACATCTGTTCTAGGCAGTGAAGCCCAATTTGTCAAGCTTGGTGTCTCTGTGTGCCTGTCAACCTCAATTCCACCCCCTCCAAGAAAGACATAATCAATTTCACAGTAAGTAGTTAAAGTACCACTGGCTTGTAACTGTTAATCAGATTTTTTTTAATTCATATAGAAAGGAGAGCTTTCCATTCAATTCAGATTAACCAGGTCTGCCAGCTGAATTATATCCAGACTGGCTAGTGATCAACGGATATTTGCCCTTCACTTTTATCATTTTCTATTACACTTGACAACTCCAGAAGAATATAACTCTAAAGTTGACTAGCTGTTGGCCTTTAGTCACTTGAGTATCAAATAGCCAACTGTTTGTACAGTACCATGGATCATTTGAGCCTGATCTACATGTAAAGGCTTTGCCAGCACGGACTGTAGGAAAGGACAAAGAAAAATAATCACACTCCCAACAGGCATACCAGTCAGCAAAACCTGTTAGTAAATATATAGCATATGCTAGAATCCTATTTAATTCAGGCAACTGATATAAGTTATATCATTAAATTACTTTTGCCTATGTAGCTATACCTCAAGCCCTTCTAGTATAAACAAGACCTTCAAGAGGGACAGATAAACTTGGTTCAAACACATTAATCTTGCAGGGTTTCCCTGACAAAGCCTGTAGCTTGTGAAAGCTCATACCTCTCTAAACAGGTTACTTAATAAAAGTTGCTACCTTGCTCTTTCTTCTGCCTAACACGGCTAATTACTTCTCCCTACAGAGATCAGTAGGGCTACACTATATCTGCCCCTATATCTTGAAATACTATCAACTACATTATAAGTAGTACCTTAAATTATTAAAAGTGAAATAGTATAAGGCTAAGTCTCTCTTCTTACATGGCTTGTTTACTTTCATTATTTGAATTAAAAAACTGAGTGCAAGATAATGGGTTTCCTCATCATCTGTCCCGCCAGTTTCACATTTAGGTTCTAGTGTATTAAGACAGAGGTGTCAAAGATACGGTCCATGGGCCAAATCCAGCCCATGGTGCTCCGTGTGGGTCTGAAGCGACCCACATATCACATGGTGTGCACTGGATTAGCCTCACATGTAAAGCCCATGCTGGGCCGCACACTCAACCCGTCACTTGGAGCTGGTCTGCAAGCCCAATCCAGCCTGCAGACTGCCCCATGCCATTCATCCAGACCACAGTTTGATGCTGCAATATGTAACTCCTTGCAAAGGAACACTGGTTTTGGGGGGGTTTTTTCAATCAAAATTACCTGGTTTTGGTGATAAAAGAATGAAATACATGGATCAGTCTGGACTTTACAAAAGGCTGTTTTGAACAGAATGAACAGCCCTGTGAAACACCATGGAGAGGACCATGTCTCTCTGGGGCAACAGCCAGAATTCCTCCAGGGGCTCTGCCAAAGCACACGCTGCAGCAGGAGCTCTATTACCATATGGGTGCGTCTACAAGCAAAATTAGTGCAGCTGAATAAACTCCAGTACAGGGAGAAAAACTGCAGAAAGGAGCCAGCCAGAACTGGTAGGAACAACTATTCTAGCAGCCAAACAGAGACCTCAGATATTCAAAAAGTGCAGTCTAAAGCGTACCAAGTTCTCCTTTGGGGCCGACTACACCAGAGACCAGCCTCCCTCACAGCCTTCCTCTGAGCTTCACTCCAGGCCTGCCACTCCTACCCTCTTCAAGTCACCTCCTACATTTCACTTCATTTTCCTTTCCAGTTGCTTCATCACCTCCCTGTTTAATTCCCTTTTTTTACTGGCTGAGTTTAACATGTCATTTCCAGCCACCACACTGTCCCCTTTGATTCTATTATGCCCCTTTCCCGATTTGTCTATTTAAGCTCTGCAAGGACAGGGACCATTTACAGAGTCTCTAGCACAAGAGGGCCCAATTCTTGCTCAGTCCTTATGAAACCACCTTCATGAACAGAATTAATGCCAACTTCCCCAGGCCAAGTCCAACTAGGAAACTCTTATCTACAACACTAGCCTGCTGCTACACCTGTACTTTTGACTCACACTAGAACTGGCCTCTGCACAGCTGTGTACACACTTCCACTCTTATGTACTCACAAGGGCCCAGCCACAATCTTAAATTATGCAGCAGTACATTTAACCTGCTGGTTCTTTAAATTTTCTGTTCTGCTCTAAACGAACACACACAGCTTTCCTTCCCTAGCATCCGCAAGAGGTGCCTGCCAGTTCTATTCTGCTATCCCACATCTTGGGTACTGAAATGATTACAATGCCATCAGCTACTGACAGGATATAACTGATAGGTTTGCCGATTGGCTATAATAGCTGAGACACTAAACAGTTTCTTGTGCAAGCTATGCTCACTTTGGTGAATGATAAGCGTTAACTAAAAATATCTAGCACACTTTCCATTCCAGGTATCCTAAAAAGCGACATCAGAAGCTACGGATATTTCAACATGCATAATGCTCTGTGTACTGGCCTTTGGGTAGGAAATGAAAAATGACCGGGTTTTGCCAACTAGCAGCTTTTAAGGGAGCAAAGAGTAATCCACCCATCATAGTCTCACTTTGAACATCTGTTGGAAACATTATGGCATTCAGAGCTTAACTATTAATTTTTAAATAATTGACCTCTTTAGTAAGAACGCTGACTAGATGAGTACAATAAAATGAACAGTGTCCTGAACTGTAAAGTATAACAACTGCGATATCATGTACCGATTGCCTCAAGCATATAAGTTACACAGGCTTGAAGTCACTCACTTTTCTATTATTTTTTAAATTCAAAAGATCCCCAAGCCCTTTACAAGCTACACAGGAACTACTTCCTTTACATTCAATAGGCAATGAGTTCTGGCATATAATCCAAGAGCTAGTAAGTGGTTAAAAAAAAAAAGTGAGATAGGGTATGAAGAAGAGCTAAACAAACAAAATAATTTGGCCAGGAAATACTACTTCTTGCAGAAAATGTCAAGAGATCTTTTTTGGACACTAAAAATTAAGATCTTTGCTTTCTCTCATCCTATAAATGGGACCATCCTTCTAACTGTTGTAAATAAAATTAAATCTTAGCAAAAAGGGATTCTTGATTCTTACTTTGATGGCAATCTACTACCAAGATTTGGTAGGGCTCTGATGTGGAGAGTGGGCATCTCTCAGAAAAAGGCAAACTATACCCGATTTAATTTTTTTTTTTTTTTTTTTTTTTAGTAGTAAAAAAGAGGAAAAAAAATGTCAAAGCCAGTCTGTCATAACTTTCCTTTTCACTATCTCCTGAGTTACATTTGCTTCCCAGAGAGGTAGCAGTGTGTGGTAGTCACATCGCAAGGTCTCATTTCTATTGCTAGGCAACTGGAAGTTGAGGTAGAAAAACTACCCCCTGAAGCAGTAGTTTCCTTCAAGTTAAAGACTCACCACATCCATGATCTGCATGAGGCTGAGTGTGAAGTTGACAGTGAGTGGCTGGGAATCGTTGGCCACAGGTCTCTCCAGAGGGTTGTAATTCTTCAGGAGCTCCTTGTAGAGCTTTCTCTGGAATTCTCCTTGCAGGGACACTGAACACAGAAGTAAATGTAAGTTCTTAGGAGTCACCACCAACCTCGATCTCACAAGAGCTAAACCGATCGCTCTCCTCCTACAAGCCAAACCAGGCACTGCATCACCTACTATTTTACACTCTTCCTCGAGAAATACTACCATATACCCATTCATTCCATTTGTTACTATACCAAAGCCTCATCCCAAAGCTACCGGTGTTCCCTTCTTCAGCGGTGTTCCCTTCTTCACCAGGCAGAAACTGCTTTTCTAATCAGTTCTCCTGCCAGGGGTAAGCTTTTCTGAAGGACAAGGATGCTCGCCTCAGGATTTGCCCTCTTTGGCCCAGGGGCCAGTAGGAGTACGGTGCAATGGAGAAGATCACGCTGTTCATAACTTGCTACTTGGTCTAAATTAGCTGTAGCCAGGATCGCGTGATGTGTGGACAGGCGGGACACGAGCGGAAGAAGGAACGAAGGCTACGAGGGCAACGAAAGCTCGGGTATCACATTAGACTGTAGCCGCCTGGGGCAGAAGCTCCCTTTGCTCTCTCTGCTCACACTGCCACGGACAAAACCAGGGCACCCCAGCGCTGCGAGTGTACAGAGGGAGGATCTGTTTAATCCTTCTGCACATTTCCACAGGCAACTCCACACCGAGCCTCTCCCCGGGGGTG